TCAAAGGCTTCAATAGTCCCCGCGCCCTCCGAATGCTGCTGCTGCTGTTGCTGTGGCTGCTGCTGCTGCTGCTTCTGCTGTTGCTGCTTCTGCTGCTGCTGCTTCTGCTGCTTGTTTGGGGTGTACGTACAGTCCTCCTCGATAAAATAGTGAGACAGAAAAGCTGGCACGAAGACACATTCGTCTTCTTCTCCTGCTGGATCTGTCAAACAAAAAACTTCGTTATCTTCTCCCATCTTTGAGCCAAACGCTGCGCTGCAGCAACAGCAGCAGCAGCAGCATCAGCAAGAACAGCAGCAAGTGCTGCAGCTCGCGCAGCCCATGACACGGTTAGCTGCTTAAAGGGTGGCTCTGCAACACCGGAAGTGGCAGCAGGAAACGCAGGAGCCCTTGAAGCATCAGCAGCAGGAGCAGCAGCAAATACAGCACTGCTGCAGCAGCAGAGCAGCTGCTGCAGCACTCATTCTCACATGCGTTGCTGCTTCTCTTCTTCTGTAGGCTGGGGTAGTGTAAATACTTTGAGTTGCGGTGGAGGTACACCTGGCAGCAGAAAAGGTCCTTGAGGTTTCCCTGTAGAGTTCATCAGATTTAAATGCATTTCTGTGAAAGCTGAGAGCTGCCGATGCAGCAGATCCGTGCACGAGCTGCTGCTGCTGCTGCTGCTGCTGCTGCTGCTGGGGCTAAGCAAGGGACTACCAGTCTGGCTCGGGCTGCGCCTGCTGCCTCTGCCCTCATTGCTGCTGCTGCTGCTGCTGCACGGCGCAGCTGCCTTTCCATCCCTCAGCATAACGGACCCCTTCAGGTCTAGCTGCAGCTGCGCATCCAGCTCAGGGTTCCCTCTTGCTGCTGCAGAAGCAGGTTCTGCCTGCTGCTCTGCAGCAGCAGCAGCAGCAGCAATGCCGCCATTCCCTAACTCATCTCCAGAATTATACTTTACATGACGCTTTTGAACTCCCTTACTGAGAGCTGCCCGTGGAACAGAAAGCTCACGGGAGGAAGGGCTTCTTGTGGGGCGCAAAGAGCCATGGTGGTTTTGTTTCATTATTTGGTGAGGTGTACGTACACCTGGCGGCTGTGCTGCGGTAGAGTCCCGCATGCACCAACGGGCCACAAGAACTACTCTTTAAAACCAAATATCCAAATCTAGGCTGTACACGCTCAGCAAAAAGCCAAAACCCTAATTTTTTGAAGTACAAGACAAGCAACTGTGAGCCACATGGCCCCGGACTTGGGTAAATGCAAAGAAGGTGAGGGGGCAGTAGAGAATTTTATCTGCTTTAAGTCTAAACCCTAAACCCTAAACCCCAACAAGTGAACACCAAGTCCTAAAGACTGTACCCTGAGCCCGATCGATCTGCTAATCAGATTCTGCGCAGAAGATTGTTGAAAGATCTAGCTCCAGTTTAGTGTATTAATGTATTGCCAAGTTTGTCTCACTGCCTCGTGTCTAACTGCCTGTGTGGCGGCTCTGCTTCAGGAGATGAGGACTCCCGTGCTAGTAGCTTTAATGTAAAAGTAACTAATCAGTTAGTCAGTTAACCAATGGACCAAATTGGCTTCTCTTCTTGTTATCGGATGGGGGAGGAGTCCATGAGGTTACTAGTGAGGCAGCGGTTGTTTGCCAAGCTTTTGGCTGCATGCTCGAGTTAGTTCTGGAGCTACGATATCCTTAGCCTCCCAAATTGCTTTTTTGCAGGCTGGTGGGAACTTCATAAGTTAATTAAATCATAAACATTACTTGTTGAAAGGAAAAGAAATTAGTTTTGTAGCGCTGCAGTTTCGACGATACTCGGAGGCCCCGGAGGGAAAAGGAACAGGAAGCCATTTAGGCGCCAGCTCTCAACTGCTCCACTACTTGTTCATTTTAAATATTATGTTTAAATATAATTGTGCAAATTATTGACTTTATGTCAGGACGAGATGAATTGTAGGCCCGAAATTGTTGGGGCTTCAGCTGGCCTTGGTAACTTGAAGTGACCTGGATTCGCGCAGTGTGTTCTGTTAACCACCAGTTATGGTAAATCCATTTGAGCCCCGCTTTGAATAAGTACCCTAAAACCAAATCAGGAAAATAACAGAAGCATGAAACGTCACTAGATTTACTCAGACTATACACATTCAGCAAAAAGCCGCGTTGTGGCCCCTCGCCCAAGCGCGGGCCCGTGTCTATCTATGTTTGTCAGTGATCCACCCTAACTACCAAGCATGAAGTAGCAGCAAAGTGTTCTCATGCTCTTTTTACATTCAAGTACATGTGGCGGCATGAGGGGCGCCACCTACCTCAAGTATCCTGTAACATACAACACCCCCAGCGCCAGTGGCGTAGTGGAGAGCCCCACGAGTGTCTCACCTGCCTATGGAGATGGCCGCAGAGAGAATAATATGGCTTTTATACAGTTCAAGTAAGAAGGTACGGCCCAGTCATTCTTCTGATAGTTTGCAGAAACATTCAAGTTCGGGTATTTACAGAGATCTGAAACGGCTTCTTTCTTGAGTTCATCTGGCTTCCTCTAGCTTGTCGGCAATGTGCAGCTGTTAGCATTTCCTTGAATATAAACAAGGCAAACAATGGCTTTGTCTGAAACAGTCGCAGAGCATGAGGTTACGGAGGAGTCAACAAGTGGCTGGGCCTACCTGGCAGGATGCACGGGTTGGAAGGTCTGCTAGTTGAAAGTTCAGGAGGCACAAAAGAATTAATTGGTGCTTTTGAAAAGAAGTGCGATCCTAGAGTTCCCGAAGTTGAAAATTTGCGAACGTCCCCAATCTAACGAAATGTTTGAAAGGATTCAGAAAGCGGATGTCCATCTGCGCTGGTGCCGCACCTGACTGATAATGCCAATGCTGAGAAATTCCGAAGGGCTTTCCGTCACTAAAAGCCGTTGACTACCTCTCTTATCTTTCTTATTTCCTTAGTCGGATAAAATAGCCTTTGCAAAACTTCCGGGGAACCCCGCGTTTTCAGCGTGCCAGTCACACATATTTCAATAGCGTGATCTTCCGTCTATGGAAAGCTTTCCAGTTTCAGTGTTTACGATTTTCGGTTAACTTCGCTGGCTCCTTTCTCTACGCTCCTCGGCTCATACAAATGGAAAGCCGCGGAGTCAGGCCTGGAATGGCATCTGCACTTTCCGATGTTGATTTGGTGGCAGCCTTCAAGTAGATTGAGTTATAGATCAGCGATAATTGTAATTGTTGACCAGAATGCAAAGCCAAGTCTCAAGGCCTATGACTTCCCCACAAAGGTAAGCTGTAAATTGTTCCGAAGTATTGGTGGCAGCGCAGCTCAAGCGAAATGGGTACTACAAAGACAGAATGAATCTGGGAGTGAGCCTCAAGTTCAACATCGCGTGACTTCTTACTCTCCTGCTCGCAGTAACTGGCTGTAGCGAAGCGAATTCACTTTACAAAGCATAACATCCTGTGCACGTCAAGTGTTTTTTGGATTTGTCACAGTGGCACTCTGTCATTACTGGCGTTCAAAACACTGGTTTAACGAGGCACGAGGGAAAGCTGTTTTCTGTGCTGACAAGGAAGGTTACGCCGAAGAATCTGCAATAGCATTCTCTGCAGAATAGCATACTTTGCAGGCCAGAGTCATTCGAATGAGCTAAGGCGGCTCTAAGAGTAAAGTTTCCAGCTAGCATGCATTTGAAAGTTAGCTGGAGAAGGGCAGCGAGAGCCCAAAAGCAAAAGAAAGTACTCAAGAATAGCAAGGCTGTGGCGCCTAACGTTCTACTCTCGAGAGTCAACTCTCAGCTTCGTATATGTAGCCTTGGGTTTAACACAAACTCGTCTGGAGGGGAAATATACTGGACAACAAGGAAGAAAACACTAGTAAGGAGGCTGTGTGATGGGACATCGAAGGCTGGTTAGGGGAACAGAGCAGCTGGCGTTCGTTTGCTGCCGGTGAAAGAATTCAAAGCCCGTCCTATCGACCTGAAGATTACTAAAAGCCCACAAATAATAAAAATTACACCTCAGTGCAGGCGGAGGCCAAAGAGTCCTCGTGAGGACACAGCGAACAACGGCGATGGACAGAGCGCCAGCCGCACCCAGAGTGTCCTGCCAAAGCTCAGTGTGGCATACAGCGCAAATTGGCATTACAAGCTCTTAAAAAAGAATTAAATGCATACCTGCATCAAGCCAAATAATAGCCCCTTGAAGCTACTTGAAGCTGCAGTGGAAGGCTCAGACTGTCCCAGGTGGCCACAAAACCACACTGGGCGGCACACGACACTGCCCATCAGTGAACGCGGAAAGTCTTACAATGCGATGATCCTTTAGGCATTTTGGAAGGATAAAAAAGATTGTTCAAAAATTTCATCAGCATTATTGTTTAGACAGCAGCGGTTCGGGAAAGAGCCCCAGAAAGGGCACCGACAGAACGTGTGCAATGCTGGGGGTCCAGGGCGTGCATCCAAAGCCACACAATGAAATATAAAGGAAATATGCATGTTCTCTTATAGATACTTCTCGCTTAATATTTATAAGAGCTGTACTTTGCGTTGTGGCCCATATCTATCGTCAGATCCTTGCGAACGCTGTGCCATGCACATAGCATTTCTTTCCTTGAATACTCGTGGCCGATCTATTAAAGGCTGGTGCAATACTTCTTCGTCGTACAAGGCTCTGAGAGACTCAGCCTTGTGGTCATGGTCCTGCGGTTGCAGTGCCACACTGTTCGCAGAACGATCAAATCGATTCTCTGGGTCTTGGTAGAGTTCAAGCTCCGTCCTTTTCCTACTTGAGCTAAGGCGACCTTTTGCCTCTGAACACTATTGATGCAGCTGTTTGCATGCAGTTGGGCCTGCTGTATGACCCAGATAAACGCAGCTGGGACTTAAGCCACCATTTCGATGAGGCACGTCGCCATACCACCGCCATGTTTGCATGGACTCCACACAGCGGGGAGGCGAACGCCTTCGTCACCCCCTTTGGGCAGTTCGTCTGCATTCATTAGAGCAAAATGCCCATTTACTGGTCTTGGCGGCTGCCATAATATGCTCCTTGCTGGCGGCGTCGACACACACAACTCCGCCGGAATTCTCCACTGCTGCCCAGCCTCCAGCTACGATTGCGGGGGTGAGGTCACTTGGAATGGCCCCATAACTCCCACAAAACACTTTTTAATCCATACCTCAAATGAGCTGCTACGGGCTAGAAAAGAGGAAAGACCTGGCATCCAAAAGCTAGCAAAACGTTTCCCAGCAAAAGTGGCTTACTGTCGTTGTCCTAGCGGTCAATATGCTTTATAGTAGGTTTCGCATCCAAGGCAAATCACCTGAAAACATGCTTTTGAAGGCCTTTAATTTTCTCACTCCGCCCAAACTGATTTGTTCACTGGAACGGCTATTTCCTGTTGAATTCTAACAGGCCCCGTTGGTTGCAGCGTATTTCCTCCCGCAACCGCTGCAGAGCCTTGCTCTGAAAAGCTGCGGCTGCAGCTCGCGAGTGTTGGAGAAAGATTTGCGGGTTTCAAGTCAGCTATTGCAGAGGACTCAAGGAGGAGGCGCCTGCTTGAAGAAGAGCGGTACAGGGTAAACAAGCTTACCGTCTAAATAACAAAGTAGTCAGCAACGCATTCCGAAACTACACAGACAAACTTGAGAAAAAGTTAACGAATGACTATACAGGAAAATCCTGCTGAGCTTCCGCATCTTCAAACTATGTAGCTGCAGCAGGAAAGCTCCAGGAGGATATCAATAGGGCAGGAAAAGCGAAGGTAGATTAGGTTTCACCACTTCACTTTTCGGAGGCCTGAAGTTTTCCTCTATACTATGTGCAGCAAATCCATCAAGCAGTGCAGGCAATCGAGAGCGGAGTTGCAGCAGAAACGAAGAGGAGAGGGGACGCTAGCAAGGTGCTAGAGAGGGCAGCAGGAAAAATGGCCACAGAAATGTTAGAACGACTGCAAATGAGAATAGGCAAACACATTGGGCATTTGACAGTACGCCAGCGCATTGTTGCTCAGCGAATGCTGGAGCAGGGCGCCTTCTGGCTCAGAACACTGCAGTTATACAGCTATATTTAACCTTATATTTCAATGTGCTTATGCATGTGTTTACATTCGAGTAAGAAGTGATGTTGGCCAGAATTTAGTCACTCTGTCTATATACTCTGTTTCTGACCGCTGCAGGGGGCTCTTGATCACCTTATAACGCGCTGCGAGGAGTTAGAGCAGGGGCTTTCAAGCCTCAAGGGCGAACAAGCAGCAAAGCTTTCCGTCAGCCCTTCAGCCCTATAGACAACTGGCATGGGAAACTCGGCCGCATTTATGTGGCATTAAGACACTACTACTCTACTTTTATTGCCCTTTCTGACTTCGACTAGATAAATTATACCGACGTTTGAGTCACCACTTCTTGCCACAGGGTTTGCAGCATCTGTCATCCCTAGTTCAGTGCCGTAATTGAAAAGTGCAGCCACAAAATGCGAAAGTTCACAGTAGCATTTGATAGTTAGTGTATGAGTTTACCTTTTGCACTCTTAGAGACAATCGGCGGAGCTAATGGCTCGCTGCAAAGCTACTCGGGCGGCTTTCGAGGCGGAGGTGCATTCGAGGACTGAGAGGGAGGAGGCAGCATCAGAGAAGCTAGAAGAGCTTGTGAAGAACTTGGACTTGAAAATAGAAAGTGAAATCGCGGCTCGTCACCAGCAAATTACAGCCATCAAAAAGGATGTTAGCATATTGCTCAGGTAGAACTCCCACCGTCACCGCACTAGGCAAGCACATCACCATTCTTCGGCGGTATGCAAGAAACACGCTTTTTAGCGTGTCGCACTGGTAATATTTGTAGTGTGCCGCAGAGGTAATCAACCGCGAGAGCAATTTCACACTTTTGTGAAGGAGGAGCTGGAGGAGCTTCGTACTGGCCTCGCCGCCGCTACGAGGGCCCGGCAAGAGGCTGACGACGAAATCCTGCAGGTACACTTGGGAAAGAGCACTCAAGAGAACAGACTAAAGAGCCCACTAAGTGTTTGTTTCCGTTGGATCTGGATGCTCCCGCTCATGCGCGTCTAAGCGTGGCACATTTTTATTCGGAACGTTTTTTTTCAGGCTATTAATGAGTATGCAGCTGCCCTTCAGAGGGGCCTGCAAAGTATCGGAGGCCTCAGTAGCAGCGCGGCAGTGGCGTAGATACGTCGAAACCACGAAGTAGCATTTCTTGCTCTCAGGCAGTAGTTTCAGTACTCTCATCAGTGTTTCTGCCGAGTAAATGGAGGCCAAAGAAACTAATTTGTTTTTTCTATTATGGGGAAGCATAATGAGAACATGGACGCCACGAAGAGGCATTGTCCCTCAGACGATTATAAGCCAAGAGCCCAAATGGTTGGCATGCCTAGGAGAACATTTGCCCTTGCGCTGTGTGTAGTTGCACCCCAGTGCTCTGTGAATTCTGCTTTTTGCTTGGACAATTCAGATTTGAATATGCACATGAAGCAAAAGCCGATGCGTTTGAATCACAGAGCTAGTACATAGTTTTGCTCTCCAGGCTTTTCATGTGCGCCTGAAGAGAAAACAGATTTCAGAAAACCCTCACGCGACTTTCTAGGCCTTTTTAAGTGCCTATGCCAACTTCGCAACCAGTCCCGAGCACTTGGATTCATCACTCATGAATGCTGGTTTATTTGTTTTTTCTTTGAAACCTACGTTCATAAGTTTCGCCACTACGTGGAGGCGGCCGTTGTTGATGTAGAAAATTTTCTCTAGCAGCTATTTGAACATCAAGTAAATTGCATTTCTCCCCGTTTAGCGTTCTCCTTACGTAAATACAGAAGCGCGCTTCTCTTGTGGTACAACCGCATTTTTAGTTCGCTTTTGCTTCCCAATAGCCTGTCAACTCGTCTGTGAAGCACCAGGCTCATGCGAATGTGAAGCATATTGAAAATCTGCACACAGCTTGCTGTAGCAATTCCAGACCAGCCAAAAAGAAAAAATCAACTTGTTGCCTTAATAGACAATGTAGATCCGGATGCAGTGACATGCGCTGAGACCCTGCGCGATCTCCAAGAAGGAGCCGAACCATACTGGCTCCTGCGACTATCGGCAAGCAAATTCTGGAATGAAACTCAAACTGGGAATTGATACCTACTTAGTCAAGCTAAAAGACCATTTAGTCTACGGAGCGAGGGGCAATTATGTTGCTTCGAAGCTGTGGACGCTCCTGGCGAAGGCTGCCGCTGCCGTCAGCTCCCTAGACCGCAGCCCAAATGGCAATATAGCAAGAAACCATTGGCACCAGCATGCTTATGTCAGTCACTCTATAGGGCATTAACCAATATTTTCATTATTTCATGGCAGATGGGTATATGTGAGGCAATTCGTAAGTTCGCGGTCACCAAAATAACGCAACATCCTGTTGGAAGTTGGGTTTCATGTTCAGCCACGGGGGAGAAACAAACTGAAATATATTTGAAGTGATTTATCTAAAATTCAGTTGCTTAGATAATCTAGACTTTCAAAAGGCCAGATGTAACCCTTAGGAATAGGGCTTCTTGCCTCAATGAGCGACCCACAGCCCCGTGCGGTGACCCTTTTAAGAATTCGCAGCTCTAGCCAGCGTTAATGACCGTAACGTTTGCAGAGTACCGGGCCTTAAAAAGACACGGCGACATAGATCTAAGCAGGCGAAGGTCAATTTTCGTGTTGGCAGGGGAAGTTTCTAGCCGACGCCGTGCTGCTCAGGTGTGCAGGTGTCAGCAGGCCAACATCGCATCAGCAATGAACATGAGATCTTGGCTTTCTTCTACGTTTGCTTCTTAAGGCCAAAAAAATCGCCCATTCCGTTTTTCTTCTGTTTCAGGGGCCAGTGTCTTTGCCTTGATGCGGAAGCAGATTTGAGGCGCCTTGGAAACAGAATTCCTAGTTGAGTACTGATTACCTGACGTGATTCTTCCGCCACAAGGGACGTCGGAGTCCGCTGCTCCCAGGAGTTCACAATTCAGCAGCTCATTGGATGGTGATCTCCTCGAAAGAATATAGTAGAGTTGAAGTGCGCCAGAGCAGCATCATTATCTTGCCAGATGTAGGCACGGAGTAGATTTTTCGGATACACAGCTGCTGCTGTCGCGTCCCTTTCGAGGCAAATTTTTCGCTTGTCCAAAGAGAAAAAAGCCGATACCAGCTTACTTGGGACGAGCCTTCCTTGTTCTACACTAATTACCCTGCTTCAAACATAGAGATGCTCTCTCAGTAGTTTACGGCATCCCCCTGAGTGTCTCTGCAGCAGCTGCCTACGTAACACTAGGGCGCATATGCATACGCGTTCCCACTCGAAAGCTTCAAGGTGCAAAAGCGTTTCTCAGAACGACATTTTTTTTGCATAGAGAAGACCAAAATGCAGGGAAATAGATTGTGGTCCCTCAGCACTTCAGAGAGGTCCATATCTCTTCTTTAGCCAGGAGTGTTCAAGTGAAGGATTAGTGGGCGTCAAAGTGCTCAGCCCCTTTTCCTGAGTTAAGCTTTGGCGGGCTGGATGCTGGTTGAAGCGCTGCAAGCAATTTCCTGAGACCAGTTTGAAAATGCAACACACCACCACAGAAGTCTGCGATAGGCCGCAGGCCTCCTGGTACTATTCACGCGGAGGTCCCAGGCCTACCCGGACTGCGTCTGCTCGTCACCACTTCCACGGAAGCAACTCCTTCTTCTCTCGGCTGCCCAATTGGAGCTTCAGATCTTTGACGCACCGCCGCAAAAGAAGCCCATCACTGCACGATCCAATATACGCCGATGCGCCGCACGCCTACGTTGTGGAGGAAACCTACCGAACACTGTCGGTGAGAGCGCAATTCCTTTTTGCAAAGTGCTCTTTATGATCTGCTTCGCCATAGCACCACTAGTTGATTCCGAACGCGCTGAATTTCTTGCAGCCAACTGAGCACGAGGATGTCACTCAAGCTTCCCAGTTTGTTGCTGACGAGGGTTCTCGTCCTCTCATTCAAGTAGAAGCTCTGCAGCACCAGCTTGCAGCCTTGCGCGAATCCAACAGGACTCTTTCTCGCGATATTACTGACCAAGGCAAGCTTCCGAGTGTCCTCAATTGGGGTGATCGAGTACTCACAATTAATGCAGGAAAGTTGAATCTAAAAACTTACTCTACCACATAATGCAGAACAGCTAGAATTAAAATACTACTATCTCAAGTCCCTGTCTTTTCCCGTTTGTCAAATTCCCTGCAGCGCAAGAACTTTCGACTGTGCGAAAACAGTACATGCAGCAGACTGCTGAAGTTGCCAAACTGTCTGAGCAATATGACGCCATTCGAGCATCGTCTGATTCAGCTGCAGTGGAGCTTGCAGCAGCACGGAAACAGCTTTCCATGGCCAAAGCCGAGGCTGGACTAGCAGCCAGCGATCGCATTGACCTCATGAAAGAAAACAGTCACCTACGGCAGGAATACACCCAGGCTATGGTATTTAAACTAGTCAGATAATTAAACACCGAGCTTTAGTGCTTATTTGAGAGCCACCACCGTCTTGCAGCAGGTGGAAGACAACATATCCCGTTTTTCCTGTGTCCTTACTGGCGACGGGCAATGGGGTGCATTGCGGCCACTCCGTTGTATCTGTCAAAGCTAATGTAGCGTCCACTCCCATGTTTTTGCAGAGATAATGTTGCACTTGAAATTTCTTACCTTTCAGTTGCCTCTGTCATGCTCTGCCTTCACATGCTGACACTCCTGTTTGTGTGTGGTACCTGTGCAACTCCTAATAATGTATAGGCTCATATTGCTGCTTTGCAACAAGATTTGGGAAAGCTACGCTCCGTGCAGAAAGATTTTGACCAAGCTACAGCCGCCTTGGAGCGCTCTCGGCAGATTCACGCAGTCGACAGAGAACAAATTATGCGTATGGAGGAAGAACTCAAAGCGTTCTCTGAAAATGAGAAGCAAATCATGCTAATTCAGGTGCTCCAAAATAAATTGAAGTGCAGCGAAAAACGCGACTTTGCTGACGTGGAGTGTTTGGGAGGGTTGGATGCAACTCTTTATCCTGGTGTCAGTGCGATGAAATGGGTGTCCACTTAGTTTTTGAGCTATGTCCTCAGCGGGAAGCTGAGGTTGCGCGGCGTCAAAGCTCAAAGCTTCTGAAGGAGCTACACGAGGCTCAGGAGGCCATTAAAGCGTTCCAAGAAGTCTCTGAGAGAAACTCCTGGGTCAGCATTCACGGAGATCGCAGCAGAACCAGGACAGCACTTGTCATTCGTAAAAAGTAGTGTTCATCGGCTGGATGGCGTGAGGCTCTTATGTATTGCATTTTCAATTTTTGTTTTAATGTTCTGAAGCTTGAGGAGGAGAGGAGGAGGCTTCTTCCTTTTGAAACAGAATGTGACCGGATGAGAGCAAGGCTAGTTCTTGAAGAAAATCGGATCAAAGAAATCACTGTGAGCCTGCGCCTTCGCAGCTCTTTTGTGCAGCAGTGAGACAACGCAAGTCGAAGTATGGTAGTAAACTTAGAGGTGGAACAGAGATCGCGCAGTAGGCGGTCCCTTACCTTTCACAACAAAGAGAAGAGGCCCAAACCCCTTTGAGCATTTTCACGTGAAACCGATTCTTGTCTCTGGTGACATCAGGAGAAGCATGCAGAAACAATAATGCAGTTGAATACAGTGATGGCGGAAGAGAAGTCTCTCAGGCACGAGATAGAGAAGCAGGCAAACGAAATTGTAGTGCTTGCAGCGGACCTCAGATCGGTAGGAAGTCGTACTGCTCAACCTCACAGTCTTGCCGCAACTTTCGTTCTATGCCTGTGTTCAACAATGCGGGTACCGTAGGAGCAAAGCTTCTGCAAGATCAAGCTAGCTTCGAACGAACTGCATCTCCCTGGCTATCTTGTCTCATTAGGCCAATCAGCGGGACTCCCAGAAAGCTGAGCAGCTAAGACTTGCGATTGAGGAGGCGCGGCGCTTTGAATATGAGGCGCAGCGACGACTGGAAGAGGTTGCGCGCCTAGAATCTGAAAACGTTAAGATAACAAAGGAGCTCGAAAGCCACTCGAAGAAGCATCTGGAGGACTTGACGGATTCGCTTGCCGAGAAACAGAAACTCAAAATGGAGTTGGATGCGGCGACAGACCACAGCCAACGGCTCTCAATAGAGCTTCAGCTGATGAAAGAAACTGAGTGGAGGCAGGCAGAGGCACTAAGGCGCGCGCGTGAGGAGAGCAGCGCACTGTCTAGCAGGGTGCAAGAACTATTGCGCCAAGCAGAGAGCATCAAGGCAAGCCTGAGGCAGCAAATGTGGAAGCAATTAGATTTGCCACCACTTTCTGAATAATCCAACAACAAAAAAGAGTTGCATACACAATATTGTGCACGATCCACATGCTCTGTAGGAGTCACATCAACTGCAAGCTGCCGAATTCGAAGCGACAGTTGCAGCGATGGAACAGCAATCAAAAAACCAGGAAACGTCCCTCCTTAGAACACAAAGCCTCAATGAGGAGGTACGACCGCCAAAGGGCTACTGGCGCTGCCTTTTACGGCACTAGGCACCGGATGCATAGCTTGTCAGGGCCTAAACTGTGCAGAGTTCCGGATATTTTTTGTCAAACTTACGTGCCTCTGCAAAATATATTTTTCCGTAAGACGTATGTGATTGTGTCGACCCGGGGTGTTCCCATTGTACGTGCAGCTAGAGGCTACTTTGGATGCGCTCCGAAAAGAGCTCAAGCACAAAGATTCGACTGAAAAAGAAATCCTGCACCGTGTGCGACTAGAGCTTCAGGAAACACAGCAGCAACACGAGGCAGCAGTGTCAAAGAAAAGGCAGCTGCGGACTCAGCTAATGGAGGCTACGAGGACACTACACCTGACTCGAGTCCGGAATGAAGAAGTATGTTTTAACACGGATATCACCGCTACTCAACACGCGTTGCGTGCCACCAGTAAAATATAGCCGGCTGCATAGGTACTTGGAGTACAGTCGCACCTCATGATTGCATCATTTGTGAGAAAAACGGCCAGTAAGCTGCGGCTGTGCTTTCTTGCGCAGCTGTGTTCTCGTCTCGAGGAAGCAAAAGTAGGTGCCCACTTGACGTTGGGCACGTTTCGTCGATCCTGGACTAAGAAGAGATTCAGCGGAGACTTGAAGAAGTGTTCATTTTTGTAGCAGTGGTGACTGTTTCTGCGTGCAGAAGCAATGTGCACTTACAGCTGCAGATGGGGCGGCGAAGGAAAAAGTATGTGAATCTTTACGGCCTTTCTTACGTGGGACAATAGTAAAATTCTGCTTGCAGCCAACGATGCAACAGCATATACACTGCAACAGGCATGGCACTGCTAGTCAGCAAACTTCATAGGCGCCGCAGCACCATTTTCGCCGTCACTAATCAGGCAGCTTGATGCCCCTATAATAATTGTGCTGCCTTTCAGGAATGGGCAGAAAAGTTTGCACAAATGGAAGCAAAAATGGAAGACGTGCAGAGACACTACGAAGTTGAGGTCGCAAAGAGGCAACGAGACACTCTGGAACTAAGCGGCCAGCAGCAGGAGCTAGCAAACTGCAAGAAGCTGCTGCAGGTTAGTAAATGGCCCTCCGAGTTTACGGAAGAGACTCAAGAAACTGGATGAATTTAACACCTAACGGCTAGGAGCGGGATTACACTGGCTGAAACACAGCTACTAGTTTTGTCGATTGCGTGTATCAGTCCTTGCAACTCACCCAGAGGCAGCTAGAAGACTCTTGCAGGAAAAAAGATGCCGAGATCGCGGCATGCAAGGCTGAGGCGCAAGTACGCGCACTCTCATACAGACAATACGTATCACTTCCCTTCTCTTGAAGCGTGCTTGAATGTACCTGCTTCAATGTACATGATGGCGGGGCCACCTTGTTTTCTGCTTTTTCAGCGAGAGTCTGCAGAGCGTGCTGAGGCAGAAGCAGCTTGGGCACGTACTGTAGAGGAAGAAGTGCAGCAAAGAGTCTCAGTCTTGGAAAAAGACTTCGCTTTGCGCATAGCCAAGTAGGCTGACACAGGACCCTTGCTTGGTTCACTACTCTCTAGTAACTGTTGTATACCCACAAATTAAAAGGCTCATATATTATCCGCCAGCGCAAACGGGGACAATGCTGCATTTATTTTCCTGGACTTCTGCAGGATCCGCAAAAAGGTCGCGGAAAGAGCAGAGTATAATCACCTTCTCGACGAATTGCTTGCTGCAGGTTTGTCAGCCCTGCTGACACTTGACAAAATGGACATGTTGCAGCCGACTTCTTGAAAAGGCTGTTAATCAGTCATCATGGAGAACTCCTTTTGCCTGTGTTTGATGCTTTTCGTTATCAGAGCGCTCCATAATGAGACGGTGGAGAGAAGGCATGGATTTGTGGAGAAAAGCAGTCGCAACGTCCCTTACCAGGCAGTAGGGGATGAACTGAAATCCAGAACAATAGTTTTATGGAACTGTTCCCCAATATGGTTGTGATACTGAGCCTGGCAAGGCAGACGCTTGTTTTAGTGCTGGCGATAGTGATTACAAGGCGTCACGACATTTTGAGAGGGCCCTTTGCATTTTCTGCTAGGCCTGGTATGCAACTACTACTAGAATTAATTTATCTTCTGAAGAAAACTTAAATAGACAGTTAAAACTATGCCCTTCGTACACTTGCGCATTCAGCCATAACATAACCTTAAAGCCCCAAGGTTGTAGCTGTCCTGAACCCTGAATATGTGCAAATAGCGCTCACTGCAACTCGTTGGTTTCCTGTCCTTCACTCCACACAACACGGAAGTTCCCCCTGCAATCGTTAAAGCAATGTTTGGTCTCTCCTGTCTCATTCAAAAACTAATTGGACAAAGGGGGCTGCGGGTATTCTGTTGAATTCTTAATAGGCATATTCGTTGCCGCCGATTGTTACCAGCTGCAGGCTTGTTAAAACATTCACAAAGCTTTGTCTTGGGCGGCATTGTTGTGGCTGGCTGACTTGCGTGCAGTGCGTGTTCCTGATGTAAGGCCCTGGCTCCATGCGCCTCTAGCTACTTTCCTTCATGCACCGATGAAATTAGCAAAGATCTAGACAAGGTTTTAGTGCTTTGCTAATCATACGTGCACATGGGGGAGCCTTTCAGAAGGAGAGCACTAAAATTATGCAACTGGCAGCAGCGACCTAACATGCACGTAGCCAGACCATCTGCTGCCCAATGCATACATGCATGCTTCAAGGCGACACAGTGACTAGAAGCATACAGGAATGCAACATTAGTTCAGAGCTGTGGAGCTCGAATGGTAGTTCCCACGGCTCATAGTTGAGCCTGGGTGCCATTTGTGAAGGTACACGGTTCCACGCCAACGCTTGTCATCTACCCAGCCATGAGTGCTAGTGTCTTTTGACGGATGGTTTAAAAGCCCGTAGCGCTTTCACATTGAAAACGTTTATAATTGGTATTCCTTACGGATGTTTCATGCTAGAGCAGGTGGTAGTGTTGTCCCGAAGCAACGGCACGAGAACAAGGAGACTGTCCTAAGTTAAGAAGAGCCATTGAATGCACCGTCCTGGCAGCGGCGCGTGAAAGGGAGAGCTTAGTAGGCATCATGAGAGGTGCCGTAGCCGAAGTTCCATAGGACGGCTACGCAAGCTAAATCTGAGGAAAAGGCTGGAGATTACAGAACGTAAAACATTAACGTAAAACATTAAGAACTAGTCTTTGGAGCACAATCTTCTCATTTTGTGTACTCAAGAGTTGGGTTATCCCTAGGAATTATCAAGACGGGAATTACTGCCGATGGCCCAATTGATTACACGGAGCATATTCATTATGTACTGTAAAATTATCCTAATTCCCTACAAATATGCTTCTCAATAACTATGCGTATGGTTTATACAGATTGATAGCTCCATCTTTTCAGTGTGCCGACAGCTATCATCTTTGAGTCCAAAGGGGTCACCTGGCCAGCACAGCCTTCTCAGTCGATGCAGATGACAGGCGACTGTCTCTGTTTCTCTCTTTCGCTAAAGCAGCCCCTTTCTAGGTTTTCACTTTGTCTCAGCACTCATTCTCTTCTTTTTTCCCTCATAAACGCGTTGGGGTTCGGACTAGAGTAGAGTGGATTTTGTGGCGACCATTTGGAGTGTGTGTGGCACGACGCTGGACTTGTCTTTCGCTTACTGAAGAGCTGCGTTGAGCTCAGCCCGGGCTGCAGTGACAAAATTTTGTTTCGAAGTTTTGTTTTAGGGCTGCATATAATACGGAGAAGTAGATAGCAGTCAATGGCCGAAGATGCACACCCCTGCCATGCAGCCTGAACAGGCGTCGACACCTAGGATATGTGTTATACTTTAATTGGGGTGAAAAAATTGGCGAAATTTTCCCTTCTCCATTCGTTGTAGGCTAAGCTGTTCCCCAGAGCAACGGCGTGGGCTCACATCAGTTCCTACAGTAGATGGTGCTGCCGCCGTCAGCGTGATAATCTACGACATCCAGGGTAGATCCACCGGGAGAACGAAGAGTTTGCGTTGGTCTATCATTTTTCTTATGAACTGCGCAAAAGCCACACTGCAAACGTAACATTTGATAAACAGCGGCTCCCTTGACTCCAGTATCCGACGCTGCAAGACTGCGTCTCCCGTCACCGGGAACCCAAGGCAGGAGCCTCTCAAGTCCATCACCCTATACTGGTTGTTGCCTCTCTTTTAAACGGTGGAAGGCCTTAAAGGTTAGAGTGTCCTGGCTACGCCTCAACAATGCTACCGAACAAACAGACGCCAGTCTCCACATTGCTCAGCTACTGGTGTAGTTAAAAAGCTAAAGATTTTGAGTATGATTTAGACTAAAATAGCAACTCTGTAGGAGACTCGGAATAGCAAGTTGCTTAAATATCCATCTACCGTTGTCTTGGCAGGGAATGCCTACCCATGAGGCGCATACAAACTGCGTCCGACACAAGTCTAGCACAAGTCGCACATACAGCAACGTGAGCGGAGCATGTCAAGCATATACGCTTTCCCGGCTGTTTCTTCACACCGCCACATAGCAGTAATTCAGCACTGCTTGTGTACAGTCACCAAAAAAAATCCCTTAACTTGTCTCTTTTGAGCACAAGGGAGACTTTAGCAGAATAAGCAACTCAAACTGACTCTCAGTATTCCAACTAACTGCAGGGAATGGCAAAAAGTCTCGCAGTCGGCTCCCATTCCGGAGGCCGCACTGGCAGTGTTGCCAGCCAACTAGAGGCTGAGCCTCCCAAAGCTCCTGCAAGCAACCCAGCAATCGCAGGAACAGATATGACCAAAGCGGAGCAACCCTTCCAGCAAACTTTGTTTGATCCGCCGGCAACACAGGGCCATCTGACAGCCCCTGGAAAGCCAGTTTCTTGCAGGCAGTCCTCATTGAGCTCTCACTGCCATCAAGGCAGCGTAGGTGACGCAGCCAAATGTGACCTTATACAAACCCTATCCATGCATTCTTGCTTTATATCGCCATCACATTGTGCTACTCCTCTTCACGAGCTGTGGCTTGCGAAGCATGTCAAGTGCGCCAGAGGGTCTGTGCGGTGATCATATCGAACGAGACAAGATTAGAACACTTGTGGCAGTGAGTATGCTTCTGCGTTTCAGGCAGACCAGTCCTTGAGAGAAAAATTTCGGACTCTCGAAGCAAAGCATATGCAACTTGTTCGGCTGGCTGCATGTAATTCTTTCTGGCTCAGTACCAGGTTTAGACTCTGCAGGTTTCGTGCAGCTCGCCTTCTTAAATTGCTGCTTCTGATGTTGCCGCTCGCAGAAGACTCTCTTTGCGGCACAGTAACTTGCGCCTGCGTGCAGCCTATCGCAGCCGCAACGAACAGCTTGCACGAGTCACAGAGGAAGCAACAGAAAAAATTAAAAAGGTGCGTCGGATGCCTTGCGTGACTAGCCCCTTTACGTCAACATTACGAATTGCTGCGATTGCAGTTACACGGAGCAACAATTAAGAACTATGTCGGTGTCGCAGCTGGAAGCCCTGGAGGCGACACGATTGGAGGTAGCGCGCGCAACGCAAGAAGAGATTACTGTGAGACGCAAAGAAAAGCAAGAGCTTCAGAGTCAACTGGAAGCAGCGCAGCAATTGCTGCACCAGCAGAATTCCGAACTTCAAGCACTAAAAGCCAAAATTTCTCAGAATGCTGGGCTTTCTACTTCTCTTGGCAAAGGTGCCTCAAGAGCTTGCATTTCCTCCTCAATGCGTATATATAAGCAGGATCCCGCATGGAGAAACGTAAATACTGCAGTTCCAGTCTCTTGTAACGTGCTGCTGCATTCTACACAACAGCCGACACAGACAGTGGCATGCTTTTGCTGCTACGATTCGCAGCTGCTAGGCGGCCAGTCTATGCTGACCAGATGCAGGAAGAAACGAGACCGCGGCCGAAAGATCCGGCGGCTGACTCAACTATAGCGGAGTGCGCGAGACTGCGCCTGACGTTGCGAGCAAAAGGTGCGGAGGGGAGCATCTAAGTTCTGAGTCGTTAGGGTTAAGATACACTAGTACACATTCGACAGAGCAGTCCGGCAAGGCTTTTCACTATTTTTGTGACGGTTTTATGGATAGCGAATCAGCGTAAACTGCTTGTGTGCAGACCGCCAGATCCGAACTTTACAAACGGAAGTTGGAGAGCTCAAGCAGCAACATGCGCACGCTCAGCAGCAAAGTGAAAAGCAGCAACAAGAGCTACTAAAGCTTACACAACGCCTTGAGGTCCTCCGCAAGTCAAAGGCGCATTTTGAGACAAAAGCTGCCCGGATGGCACACGTAAGCTCACCACGCCAAGGGCGGCCATGCGCAACCTTTCGTTGGTTTCAGTTTGAAAAGTAAACCCTGCGTCACAATGCCCTAAATCTTGTGGAGAATTGGCCCAAACCGTCGTACATGAAGAGGCTGAATCGTATTGATTCATGCGTAGATTTGCACATTACTTAAATAGAGAGTATGAAGCGGTGCACGAGCAGCACAAAATGTGGCGCTGTTTGCAACTTACAATTCCTGTTTCCT